CCACTCAGTGTGTGTGTGTGTGTGTGTGTGTGTGTGTGTGTGTTTGTGTGTGTGTGTGTGTGTATCCCATGTTCAAAAGCTGTTAAATCGCGTTGTTTACCCATATCTTCAGAAAAAAAAAATCACTTCTGTTGTGGTAAACAACCTGCTTCCCTATTTATAATGGTCTGGCCCTCTAGCAACTTCAGCACAAAATTATAGCTAATTTGCCTACAAACGTCAGGTGGTCATAATAATCTGGCCACTCTGTATATTCCACAGCAATGAATGTTAGCTTACCCATTTCCTCATCTCAGTAATGTAATAGTTCTCAAACTTAATCTTTGCTACTCTGACACATTAAAAATGGTTCCTATTAGGAATTTAGCTTATAATTGTTTAAGAGCCATTTGTGTTTCCTGTGGTTTTCTGCCTCATTGGTCTTTTATTGATAATTTGTGGGAATTAAGGAAAATAACCCTTTGTGACATGCATTATAAATATTTTTGTCTTTGTTGTTTGTTTATGATGCTTTTATCATGCATGCAAAGATTTGTTTTTATGTAGGCAAATTTATTTAGTGGCCTTGGGAGGCCTTCCCCACTCAAATATTATAAAAACTGTTTTCTTTTAAAAAATTATTTGATTCAATATTTGATCCTTCAGGAATTAATTTTGGTGCAAGGACTGAGGTAGGGCTCAAATTCATTTCTATATAGCTGCTGCTTCTGGTCTTTTAATCTATAAAAACAGGGTGCTGGGTTAGAAGATCCTAAGAACTTTTACATTTCAAAGCAGTCACTTGCAAACTTGCTCAGATGACAGTGTTCCTTTTGTGTTAAGTGCTTTGCTTTGTCTTAGGATAGTACATTATCTTAAACCTGGCTTTCTATTACTATATATGCCACTGAAAGTGTTTTTACAAAGCAGCAATGATTTTATTTCTTGGGGAATAGCAAGAAGAAAGCTAAAGGAGCTGTGTTGCCACTATAACATTCAGTCCCTTTAAAATAAAACACATCTCTGGAAATCAACCATTTGTGGACTAGTTCTCATGAGATTCCTATTGGAAACTATGGATGAGGTGAAGTGAGGAGCAAGAAAGTAAGCTCTATGAGGACAGTTAATTTTTTATTTTTGTATACTGGGGTCTCCTCTTACCTGGTTTCACTTTCGAAGTTTCAGTTACCTTTGGTCAAAAGTATTAAATGGAAAATTCCAGAAATAAATAATTCATAAGTTTTAAATTGCACTCCATTATTTAAAAATATTTTTACTGTTGATAGTATTACAGATATATCCCATTTCCCCCCCTTTACCTCCCTCCTCCCAGGCCCTAAGCCCACCACCTCCACCAGATTTCACCACCTTATTGCTTGTGTCTATGGGCTATGCGTATAAGTATATAAGTTCTTTGGTTTATCTCTTCTCATCCCTCCAACCCCACATCAAAGTATGTCACAGTATGTCAATCTGTTCCATGCCTCCATGCTTTGGGTCTTATTTTGTTTGTCAATTCATTTTGTTCATTAGATTTCACAAATTAGATCATGTGATATTTGACTTTCTCAGATTATCTTATTTCACTTAGCAAATTGTCTACAAGTCCATCCATGCTGTCCCAAAAGGTAAGAGATCCATCTTTTTTATAGCTGCATAGTATTCCATTATGTAAATGTCCCACAGCTTTTTTTTTATCCACTCATCTACTGATGGGCACTTGGGCTGTTTCCATATCTTAGCTATTGTAAATTGTTTTGCTATGAACACGGGTGCATATATTCTTTCTGCTTGATGTTTTGGGGGAGTTAGGATATATTCCCAGAAGTGGGATCGCTAGTTCAAAGGAAGTTCCATTTTTAATTTTTTGAGGAAACTCCATACTGTTTTCTATAGTGCTGCACCAGTTTGCATTCCCATGAGCAGTGAACTAGTGTTCCCTTTTTCTTTTCTTTTAAAAAATATTTTATTGATTTTTTTCAGAGAGGAAGGGAGAAGGATAGTTAGAAACATTGATGAGAGAGAAACATCGGTCAGCTGCCTCTTGCACACTCCCCACTGGGGATGTGCCCGCAACCAAGGTACATGCCCTTGACCAGAATCGAACCTGGGACCCTTCAGTCCTCAGGCTGACATTTTATCCACTGAGCCAAACCAGTTAGGGCTAGTGTTCCTTTTTCTCTGCATCCTTGCCAGCACTTGTTG